AGAAGTTTGGTCTTAAGAACATATTTAGTATTAATATTATTGTCATTTATTTGTCATTTTAATGTCATTTATAAAAAATTTTTTATGACTTGTCATTTTGCCATGGTTTTGTATAATTTTTTTTTATAATAAATGACATTGTCATTTTAAAATGACATGTCATTTATGATCATTTTCATAAAAATTTTTATGACCTTGTCATTTGCCATTACTGTTCTGACGTATAGTCAGGAGATTTCAAAAAAAAAAGGGGATGATTTATAAACATGGTACCAGGCATATAATCCATTGTTTCAATAAGAATTGAGATAGTTATATTCTAAAAGTTATCTAAGCTATTTTTACTTCGGCCGCGACCTCCGCGACCTCCGCGACCACCACGATTTCCCCGATTTCCATGACTTCCACTATGTATATTTGAGTTTGAATTCGGTTTTGCTGGAATATCCCTTTGTCGATTATTATTAATATTGTAAGAAGTTGTTTTCTTTATATTCTAATTAAAAAATATAGATTTTTAATTTTTTAAATAATCGGATATAGTAAAATTATTTTCAATACATTTATTTTTTAAAAAAAGCAACACATTTCCTTTAGCTTACCTGAATTGTGTATTGATATGCATCATAAATATGTGCAGCTAATAATGATTTTGGAAATTTATCACGAATAACGTCATCAGTCACCCAAACTGGCCAACAATCAATGAAAGTATCTCTGGCCAAATAATTGGCAAGCATCTCATTAGGGTTATACATTTCCGATGTCAAATACCGGAACATAAACCTTTTTAATACTAAAGCAAAAGCTCCATGTGGAATCTTATGTTCGCTGATTTCACTACCACCAGTACTATGTGATTGTTCAAAGTTTATACCTGCGTTAATTTCATCTTTTAAATGTTCTGAGAGCTGAACTTTATATTGATCGGATAAATATTCAATTTCTACATCCGCAATTTTTTCTTCCACTAATTCGTATAATGCAACTACATGTTTTAATCTTAGTCCGTTAACCATTTTCTGAAATTGTTGGTTTTCGGTTAATGTTGATAATCGCATCCATTTATTAAGATAATTGGTTATTTCCATTTCACGATCTCCACCAGAAGTTCGTTTCAAAAAACAAAGCAAAATTTCAAGTTCTGACAAAAGTTCGGTTGGATTATCGAAAATTGGCACTATATCAATATTTAAACTACTAAAATTAAATTTTGATAAAGTTTTAGATGTTACTGTGGAAAAAAATCCGAGTTTTTCGGATGGAATTGGTTCTTGGGATATTAGCTCTTTGATTTCACTCAAAATGGTTCGAGAGGTTGAAAATAGTTCTAGGTGATATGGAAACACATCTAGCCAACCTAAATCTTTTTCTTTTTTATTAAGATAAACTTTGTTGAAAAGCAGTGAATAAGCTAATTCTGCCTCAATTTTATGTAATTCATATTGGATTTCTTGTCCATGTCCAAGTTCAAGATTACGTTGACTATAGGACAGTAGTTTATGATTCCATGTATAATGTATAATGTTTTTAGCACGTGCTTCGGAAAGAGCTAACATTTCTATGTAATACTGATGTTTCGGAATATTACGCTTAGTGGTAACCAATTGTCCTTCTAAAAATCTTAATGAAGGACAACCAGGTTTAAGAGCTAAGACATGTTGCAAAAATTCATTTTGTAAATTGGCTAAAAATTCTATTGCTCCACATAAATATAAAGATTCATCCCTTTTTTCGAACAACGCGTAAATCAAAGAAAGGTTGCGTGTCATTTTAGGCATTGGCTTTTTAAACTCATGACATTCAAACTGAACAACATGTTCTCTAACAGAATTCCATGCTTCAGCAAAATTATCAAACGCTTCAGAAAGATTTTCTGATGAATGATTTTCATTTTTTTGAAGGAATTGGTCAAATGTAAGATTGCGTGCTTCACTCCTTTTCAATCGGTAGCACAGCATTGATGAAAGAATTCGTGAGAATTTTAAAATTGGCATTAGATGTTTCACCAATGTCAATTGTTCATGATACTCAAAGAATAATGACAGAAATGGAAATTCGGTGACAAAGTTTGGGTACCCTACACAATATGCATGCAAATTTTCGAAGCTTGTTTGGCCAATTCGTCGCCAAATTCGTGGACGAAAATCAAGTTGATATTTTTCATCAACATCCAAAGTTTCGTTAATTTCACTTTCAAGTGTGAGTTGAGCATCTTTAATAAGTTTCTGAAAGTCCGTCGCGGTACGACGGGCATTAGCAACTTTAGGATTTATATAACGTTGAGCAAATTCATTTTCCCAAGCTCTCCGTTTTTCAATTGTGTCTAGTCTTATCGTTGCTTCGTTTGGATTCTCAGACATCGAATGTAAAATCGAATGTAACACAAACGCTAATGTTTCATCATCACAATCAAACAAACATGTCAGTATTTGCCAATCGTTCTCTATATGGTTTTGACAATAAACCAAAGGTTCTTGAATTACTCCATTATTTTGTGGTTGCAAATTGTTGAAAAAGTTTTGGTGATCTTTATCCGATGCAGCTCCAATAAGAACATGAACGAAAAGATGCAATATACGATAAGAAATCGGTGTCAAATCACGAAGACGATAATTTATGTACTTTCTGCTGTCGATCGATTCATAAACAAAACCAGGCTGGGTTATCATCTCATCGCTTCCATTAGTTACTTGAGGATCGAGGCGTTTGTTACCCGGATTGACATTATAATCTAGTCCACCAATACGATTGCCACATTGTGGACAAATGCTTTCCTGCCTCGTGTCACCACATTCACCAACGATATATTTGTAACCGCACTGGCATTCATAACTAAAAAAAAATAGAAGTTTAATTAGAAATAATATAATAAAAAGTCTCACTCTTGTTTCAAGAAGTACATACCGTGTAAAGTTTCCTATGGCATCACCGAGTTCAAGAAGGCAATCAGTATCTACGCGAGATGTCAATATATATGTATCTTTACAAGCATTCAAAGTTTGTAGATATGCAGCTAACGGAGAACTTGCCGCAGAAATACATGAATGAAGTGCAATAGTATGGACGATAACAGATCTAATTAATAGCTCTTTTTGGCTTGTTTCCAAAGAAGTACTATAAAGTTGATGCGCATTATCAATAAAAGCTAACAATTTATCTTTATAAAATTGGTCAAATTGCATATTTGGCAATCGATTACGTAACCATTGGATTGTACGTTCGTCATTCATATTTGGTACTCGTATAGCACGTATGTCATAGAGACGAGTGATCAAAACTCCCATGATAGACATTTTGGTATTTATTGTTAAGTTGTTTGAAGCTTCATTTAAAAATTGTTCGAATTGCAGATGTTGACCACGTTTATATAATGGAATAAACGCGTTTTCTGCTTCTATATATTGGCTATAACAACGATAAGCTACAAAGTTAATTTTACTATTGTTTGCCCCCCAATCAAAATCGACTAGCCACTGGAACGTCCTTCGTTGTATTT